TCCCGCTACCATCACACTGGGAATTAGGGCTTCAGCGTGTAGTTTGAGGGAACACGCATTCAGTCCATAACAGTAGTCTTTTTGTTTTTAACCTCCCTGCCTTTTTTTGTTAACATTTTTAGAAACTACGGTCCATTTTGCCTTAGGGTTGTTGTATTAGTTTGCCAGGGCTGCTGTAACAAAGTAGCACAAACTAGATGGCTTAGAACAACAGAAACATAGCGTCTCACGGCTCTGGGTGGCCTCTCCTGACTCGGGATGGCCTCGGCTGTTTGGTTGCTTATAGGAGCATCGCTCCAGTCACATAGCTGTTTTCTCCCTGTTTCTTTACCTTGTGTTTCTTCTGTGAGTGTCTCATGTGTGTCCAAGTTTCCCCTCTTCGTAAGGACACCAGTCACAATGACTGCATTTTAACTTGACCACCTCTGTAAAGGCTCTGTTTCTGAATAGTCATATTCTGAGCCACTGGACATTAGGACTCTGCCATATCTTTTTGGAGGAGCACAGTTCAACTTAAAACACTAGGTTTACAGGGCATCTGGTGGCTTAGTTGGTCTAACATCTGACTCTTGATTTTGGCTGAGGTCATGGTCCCAGGGTCATGGGATCGAGCCCTGCATCAAGTTCTGCACTGAGCATGGAGCCTGCCTGAGATTTTCTCCCCACCCCCCCCCACCCCAGCAGCTCTCACTTGCCCTCTTAAAGAAAACACCCAAAACAGGGGCGCCTCTGACCTCAGCTCAGGTTATGATCTCACGGTTCAAGGGTTCAAGCCCCACATCGGGCTCTGTGCTGACGGCTCAGAGCCTGGAGCCCGCTTCGGATTCTGTGTCTCCCTCTCTGCCCCTCCCCCACTTGTGCTCTGTCTCTCTCTCTCTCTCTCTCTCTCTCTCTCTCTCTCAAAAAAAATAAATAAAAAAACCAAAACCACTAGGTTTTTGTGAACGCAGGTGGGTTCTCAGTTTATTTTGTGCTCATGTGTGAGCTGTTTTGAGAGCACGTCTTGTGTCTTGCTTGCTTCTGCAGCTCTAACACCGCACCTCACCTGGCTCTTGGGAGAGACTCTGTCTATAGAACAACTAAGTCATTAGAGGGTCTGGTTAGCTGCACATCTCCTCTTGGGGAGGCTTGGGGAGGGGATCGCGCACGCGTCATTCCCTTCACTGCCTCGCAGAGTCTGCTTTATCTGGTGGGTCTCTTGGTGGGCGCAGAGCTGTTCCCGTCTTCCGCTGCGGGGAATGCTCTGCCTGAGTGTCCTGTTGCCTAGGTGTGTAGGGGAGCCGGAGGGCACTTTCTTCTTTCCCGGGTGTGCAAGAGAGCCGGAGGGCACGTTCTCGGAAGTGCTGACTGCCCTGAGAGCACATAGCATATAAATTGTGACGCATGTTGCTAAGGTAAAAGCTTTGTAGACGTTATGCCCGCTTACGTTCTGGCATCAGCTGCTGTTCCTTTATTCGCGGAGGGGAGTTGTGGCACAGGCACGCCTGGGAATGTGCCCGTGCTTTTCTAGGGAGTGGTGACAGATTTGGGGTTTGGCCCGAGGTGGCCGAGTCCAGGCTGTTCTCCCCGAGGGGCCGCGGTGGTCACCTGCCCAGGTACCTGCCCCGCGCCTCCAGGCTCACGCGGGGGAAGCTTGTCTCCTTTCCGTTTGCGTTTCTTTTACATGGAGTGAGGCTGAGTATCCTTTGCATTTTTAAGAGTTTTGAATCGTTTTCTGGTAAACCTTTTCTTACTGACTTGTAGGATCAAGTGTGTGTGTGTTTAATGCCTGTGATAGGAGTTGCAAGTACTTTTTCTCTAGCTTGTCGTGGCTCTTTTGATTGTATTTATGGGGTTTGGACTTTTTTGGGTTTTTCCATGCCAAAATAGTTGTGTAGTAAAGTTGATATTCTTGCCTTTTGTGGTCCTTGGTTTAGAATCGTATGTACAGACGTCTTTCTCACTTAGCAGTCACAAAAAAGGATTCCTGTGGTTTCTTCTAGTATTTTCACAGTCTTACTTTTCAAACTGAAATCGGACCCATTTGCAGTTTATTTGGAAATAAAGTGAGAGACTCGGAGCGTTCTCCATCGTGTGGCACATTCATAATGCATTTTCACATCTGGTAAGATTAACGCCCTCTCGTTACCTTCTTTTTAAATGTTTCTCTTATTTTTCTTTGTTGATTTTCTCAGAGGAATTTAGAATCAGATTGTCCGGTTGTGTGAAGAAAATCAGGAATTTGAGAGGGGCGGGTGACCCCACACTTAGCGGCTGAAGGAGAACGGCCTTCCCTGTGGCATCGCGTGCCCTCCCCTCGCCCGCCAGGTCCGCGCAGGGCTCCTGCCCTCACTGCTCCGTCACCTTCATTTGAACTCATTTCTCTGCTTTATGTTTTTATTGGAGAGAGTCGTAAACATTCATGGCACTGTAACCGGTCACCAGCATCACACGCTCTGGAGGAGTATTTGCCGAATACTGGATTTTGCCTTTCTTCCTCTTTGCTTCGACTCTGGCTGTGACTGTGCCAGTGCCTGCCTGCACAATTAAAGCTCCTTTTGACCCAAGTACATGCTTCCTGACCCAGCTGTCGTCAGAGCTGCATCCTGGTGATGGGGACTGTCCCAGGCCGGCCTGGGCCGCCTCCTGGAGACACCACTCAGCTGTGCCTCTTGGGTGCTCAGGCGTGTGACGTCTGGGGACACGGCATCCAGGCAGGGGCCCGGGCCCGGGGGTGATGCCGGATTTGGAGACATCCTGCAGGCTTTGGCTACGTTTCCCTCGGTTACCCTTCCGGGCACTTCCCCCACAGATTTTTCTGCCTCGCATCATTTCTCAGATTGAGATATTCACATAGGACTCGTTCTTTGCACGTGCAGTTTGGTGGTCTGGGTATGTTCACAGTGTTGTGCAGACGTCACCACTCTCTAATCCAGAGCAGTTCGTCACCCCAGCAGGGTGCCCTGTCCTCATTAGCATTCGCTTCTGTTCCTGTCAGGCCCCCGTCACATCTCTACAGCGCACCTGGAACTCGTCCACTGTGTGGTCTTCTGGGACTGGCTTCTTTGACTCAGCGTCACGTACGGAAGTTCAGGTTGCATCTGTGCTGTGGGTACACCCCGGTTGAGTCACCCCTTCACTGCTGAGCTCTTAGGAAGAAAGCCGTTGGCATGCAGGTCTCTGGGCGGACGTGCGTTTTCGTTATCTCGTGTTTGTGCGGGAGTGGAGCCACGGGTCGCACGGTCAACTCCGTGCGCGTCTCACTGAGGGACAGCCAGGCTGGCTCCCCCCCGCGCGGCCTCATTTTGCATTGCCGGCAGCCGTGTCCAGAGGGTTCCGGTCCCTCTGCCCCTTTGCCCACGTCGCCCACCTGTTTGATTCTGCCCTCGCCCGGCTCATGAGGCAGCGCCCGCCGGTGTGGGCCACGTCATGTTTGCAGCCTCTCTTCTGTGTGGTCGTTTGCGAGTATGGACATTCGGGAGTTTCCTTAGGCGCAGTCTGTGTGTGTTTCTTGTTCTTCGTGCTTCGGAGCCATTGCCCAGGGTGGAACCTGCCATCTTACTGCGCCACTTAGAACGCTGGGCGCTCAGTACGTGTCATTTTCTTAGGCACAATTTTAGTTGGCCTGGGACGTGTTTTTATGCTCTTCTTGTTGTAGCAAGGGACGCATAAAGTTGTTTTAATTTGAGGGGCACCTGGGTGGCTCAGTCGGTTAAGCATCCAACTCTTGATTTCGGCTCAGGTCACAATACCATGTTTTGTGAGCCTGAGCCCCACGTTAGGCTCTGTGCTGTCAGTGCGAGCCTCCTTGGGATTCTCTCCCTCCCTCTCTCTCTCAAAATAAATAAATAAACATCTTTTAAAAATTGTTTAATTTTTTGGGGCGCCTTGGTGGCTCAGTCGGTTAAGCATCCAACTCTTGATTTTGGCTCAGGTCATGATCTCACGGTTCATGAGTTGGAGCCCCACATCAGGCTCCATGCTGATGATGCAGAACCTGCTTGGGATTCTCTCTCTCCCCCTGTCTTTCTGCCCCTCCCCTGCTCGTTCGCTCTCTCTCTCTCTCAAACTTTTAAAAAAATTTTAAATTGTTTAATTTTTCACTTTGTGCTTTTTTGTTTTTAACGCAGAACAGAGCTTATATTATACCTCAATGGAAGTAAAGGGGAAGGCAGTGGATGGGGCACTCTTCTGTAACAGCAAAAAGCCCCCCCTACCACAAATGTTTACAAATAAATGTTTGCTGCTTTTTTTCTTTTCGAATATTCATTTAAATTCTAGTTAGTGAACATATAGTACAATGTTGGTTTCAGGGTTTATCATTTTTACCATCAGAGAACATATTTCTGCATATTTCAAGATATGGCCTTTTAGAACTGGTCAGCTGGCATCTGACCCTGTGTGTGGCTGGCAGGGGAGGGGGACCCACCCTGAAGCTTTGACCTCACACGTGGGTACCTCTCCTCCAGTGGGTGGGAATGGGAGGGGGGCAGGGAGCTGTGGTGAGGGCAGTTGCTGCCCCTGCGGGGCCAGGAGTGAGGAATCACATGTCTGAGGGATGGAAAGACCAGTGACCAGGTGGGCTGAGTGTAGGGCTAGTGTGGTCTTGCAGCGGCTCAAGGGTCCTGCCTTCTCCCCTTCCCCGGCCCTCTGTCTCCTGCATCCGTGCTCTCCCGTCAGGACTGTGAGCTCGCCTCTCCTTCCTGAAGGTGCCCCATCAGCAGGTTTCCTAAATGGGGGTGTGGGCCTGGCAAAGGCAGGGGCTTGTGTGTGGACAGCCCTCCCTCCTGCTGCTGTCCTGGCACACGGTCACCTGGGTGCCGCTAGGAGCCATCTAGGAGGCTGTGGGGAGAGGCTGCTGCGGGAGGGGGAGTGGGCAACAGGCGAAGGTGGGGGCGCTCAGTGTGAGTGGGCATCGCGACCTGGCAGAGGCCGTGGTGGCCCAGGGGAGCGGGATGGCCCTGGGGTGGGGGGAGCACAGAGGAAGGGGAGCCCAGGTTCCCGTGAGGAGGGGGCCGGGCATGGAGGCGGTTGCTGTGGAGGCTGGACACTTCCCCACAGAGCTTCAGTGGGGTGTGAAGGGGGCTGCTGTCTGTGTTTGGGAACAAAGGTGTGCAGACACCTGCACCTGCGGGGGCTGCTGTCCCCAGCTGGTTGCCAAGGCCTGTCAGCAGTGGGCGGGGCTTCCGGGAGGGGCGGCCGTGCAGCCCCCAGGCTCAGGACACTGTCTCTCCTTTCTCTGCAGATGAAGGGCGCCCTGGCGGAGATTATCCAGCTGGCTACCCTGGACTCGGACCCCTGGGTTCTCATGGTAGCTGACATCCTGAAGTCCTTTCCCGACACCGGCTCGCTTAACCTTGACCTTGAAGAACAGAATCCCAACGTTCAAGATATTCTAGGAGAACTTAGAGAAAAGGGTATTTGTGTGTGTGTTTTTTATGTGGGGAGGAGGGAAATGTGAACTTGACATCTACAGTGTTGCGTTGTGTGCGGGGCAGTTGCTGTGGTTCCGGAAATGTTATCTGTGTGCATTTTCCACCCCCACCCCCACCCCCCGCCAGAGCTGCTGCCCAGCTTCTGGCCAGTCTCAGAATACCAAGCTTGTCAACAGCCCACAAGCCTCTCCTCACTGCTCAGCTCCGTGAGGCCATGGGCTCTGCCCGTTCAGGTTGCATCTCTAGAGCGTAGAACATTCCCTGGCACAGAGTAGATGCTCAGAACTGTGTGTTTAAAGTATCACCAGTTGAGTTATTTTGAGCTTGAACTGAAAATTATTTAGAATATTCTCGTAAATGATCAGAGAAGGCATAGAAAGACGAGGAGGGCTGTTCCTCCCAGGTCTCTCTCTGTCTGGAGACAGGTGCTGGTGCCCCTTCAAGATGGAGCCTGTGCTGCCACAGGGCCGGTAGCCTGGCCATTCCCCCCACACAACACAGAGTCTTTGGGAGCCCTGGGAAGCAAACCCAGGACGTCTTTGTCCTGGTGGTTATCTTGACCAGGGTCCAGGTGAGGTCTGCCTCTTAGGTGGGGAAGGGCCCGGGTTTACTGCCGTGCAGGTGGGGCTTTTGGGTCTCTGGGGGGGGGGTGCTGGTCTGTGGGTGGGGGGGGCAGGAAAAATAGGGGTGCATTTGAGCTCCTTCCTCAAGGGTTTTCCCTGAGTTCTGACTCCTGGGGGGACAGAGAAGCCACCCGAGTGCTGCTTCTGAGGGCCAGGATCCAGCAGAAGCCAGAAGAGACCACTGACAGGGGCCCGTGGAGGCTGCAGAGAGAAGCCTATGGTGACCACAGACTCGCCTTTCCTATTGCTCGGGGTGTGTCTGGGCATTTCTGATGCCTGGGAATGCTGGAGACACTCTCCAAAAATTGTTGTATTGATGCACACCGGTGGGGCCCCATCCTGGTGGGTGGCCACCCGCTTGACCACCAGCCATGTTGGTGGCCTTGACTGGCGGGCGACTGGTGGGGTGGAGACGCTGGGGAGTCCGTCTTTGACGGATCAAAGCGGAAGATCCGCAGCTGTAAACAGGAAACGGCATTTGGATTGTGTTTTCACATCAGTGGTGGAGACGGTGGCCTGGGTGAGGGAGCTCCTAACGAGTTGTGTCGGTTCTTGAACGAGCAGTGAATGAGTGTGAGGCGTCAGCCATGCTGCCACTGGAGTGCCAGTACCTGAACAAAAACGCCCTGACGACCCTCGCCGGACCCCTCACTCCCCCAGTGAAACATTTTCAATTAAAGAGGAAGCCGAAGAGTGCCACGCTGAGGGCAGAGCTCCTGCAGAAATGTGAGTGTCCGCCATCTGGGCGCCGGGCTGGTGGGGACCCTCTCCTCTCGGGGCCGCCCTGCCGAGCTCACGGCCGTGCTTTGGCCTCGGTCTGTACTTCTACTTTCGGAGTTCTTTGATTTATGGCTCCTAACCTGTCTTCTTGAGACCGAGGTCTGCAAAAGTTTTTCAGAAATTTATTTACTGCTACGCTAAACTGTGTGTTCTAAAATCTGCTCTAGAAACTTCAGAATTTTCGGGTTAAAGGGTCTGTAATCTTGTTACAAAAAGTGAAATCTGCAAACAGCGATGTGGGCGGTGATAGGTGGCCTGGCAAAAGCTCCTGAAAGGCTGGCCCCTCCTGTAACTGCCTTTTTCTGGAGTTGCAGATGGCGTGCATCTCACCGTAAAGATGTTTCAGCGTTTTATTTAACGTTTTCTCAGATAGTAGCATGTGAAATGGGTGTGGAAGTTATTTGCTAGAAAAAAAGGCAAGGAAGTTGATTCTTTTCAACCAAATTGCAAAACATATCCCGATAAACTTTTATTCTGAATGGCTACGGAATTGGTATCAATGACATACGTAAATGCCCTGGTTGCAAAGCATCTGGGTAAAACGCACCAGCCGTTGTGACTCTTAGTTCAGAATAGACAGCGTCTTGGGTCTGGTGCCGTGCTGTGGCTGCATGGGGCTGGTGGCCCCGCTGTCCCCTGTGGCAGAGCCTAGTGCTGGGGACCAGGCTTCCGGCCCCGCCTCGCTGCTCCCGTCCCCTTCCCCAGCACCCACCGAGCCGTCCCGGGAAAATCTCGTTCCCTCCTCATACTTCTGCGTCTGCGAGGAGAAACGCCACGCACGCTTTGCCTGATGACCACGGTCATCAGTATCCAGTGAGGACACCCCCATCGGGGCTGCCCGACTTGAGACCTCACGCAGGGTGCCCAGGAGGCCTCCCTCCAGCCCCCCTGTGGGGCCCCTCTGGAGTACGGTTCTGCCCCTTCCGGGCAGCCCCACGGCTCTCCTTACTTGAAAGTAGGTCTTGTAAGCAAAAAACATACCATTTGCAGTCACATTGGGCTTCGGGGAACGTATGAATGTGTCTTTAGGAAGAGAGACCCGTGTGTGTGTGTGTGTGTGTGTGTGTGTGTGTGTGTG